AGAATTTGTTACAGCAGCACTAGGAAGTAATCTGCTCCTCTGAACTTGAAACACCCTGAGTATCGGTTAAAGCATTGGTCTTGGGGCTTGATATATACAACTGTTTCTTCCGGACAATACAGTAAAACCCAGTGGACTGGGCCTTCTTTCCCATACCCTCCCTTCAGCCTTAGAGAGCAAGGCACATTTGGTGTTCAATGAATGCCTGCTGGAAGGACTGCAGAACAGTGTCTGGATCAGCTCCCATCACTCACACAGTCAAGAGAAAGGTAAACAGTGGGTGAGGTCAAGACCAAAGCCAGCTTCTCCTAGTCTAATGAGTTTCCACATTAGTCACTGCTAGCAAGTTTCCAATCAACCAAGAAGTGCCAGGATTGGTGACTGCTCATTCATCCTGGTAGTCCCATCCTACTTGGCCCCAGATGGGGAACTAGAGCATGGCATAGCTGCCCTGCTGGGCTACCAACTAGGTGACCAGCCACAAGAGACTAGTAGGAAGGGGAAGGTGGCCAAGCTTAGAAAAGGGTCTGTGATGGGTCAGGCATGGTGGCTCACACCTATAATCCCGGCACTTTGGAAGGCTGAGGCAGGCGGATTGCCTGAGGTCAGGAGTTCGAGACCAGCCTGACCAACATGGTGAAACCCCATCTCTACTAAAAATAAAAAAATTCACTGTGTGTCATAATTAGCATGTGATATAATCCCAGCTACTCCAGAGGCTGAGGCAGGAGAATCGCTTAAACCCGGGAGGTGGAAGCTGCAGAAAGCCGAGACCATGCCACTGCACTCCAGCCTGGGTGACAGAGTGAGACTCCATCTCAAAAAAAAAAAAAAAAGAAAAGAGCCTGTTCTCCCTACAAATGCCCCAGGAAAAGCAGTCTATCAGGAAGTTTCGTGTAATCATAAGCTAAAGCCAAATGAGGGCAATTACTGTTGATTATAAATTGCTCTTGTTCACAGCCAGGGTAGAGGTCACTTGGCTGCCAGCACAACTTGTCACTATGCAGTGTGCCCCAAAAACAGAACAGCCAAAGAAAGCCCTAAAAGGTGTCACTAGAAATTACTCCCTGGAAATCACAGACAGATCCAAAGTTCCCAGAGGCCCCACCTCTCTCATCTTGAGGTCAAAAAGGCTCACAGGACCATTGCTACTTACCAGCAAAATCCAAGGACCCAGCCCTGTAAATCTGCCATCTCCACAGCCTCATCCCCACTTCAGTGGCTGCTTGTTTTGGGGCCTCTAGGCTGGAGGGGGTGGGCGGGTAGGAGGAAGCTGTATTTACTACTGTCTCAGATTCAAAGGCACTGGAGAATCTTGGTGGGAATCAAGTGCGTGTGAAGGGACTCCATTAGGTCCCCCAGCTTTCTCAGCAGAAGAGAACATGCACAGATGCAGTGGGGACCACAGAGGTCAAATGCAGTCAACTCATCCACAGGCTTTGGAATCAGCCAGACCTAGTTTGAATTCCAGGTCCTCCACTTTTCCTGGCTGTATGTGGCCTTGGGCAAGTCACTTCACCTCACCAAGCTTCAAGTTCCTCATCAGGAAAATAGGCACAGTAATAGTGCCAACCTGACTGGGGTGTCTCCAGGGTTGAGATGATACAAGTAAGTAACCCATATCTGACACACAGGACACCCACCGAGAACAGTGCTGGTGAAGATGATGGATAAATCACTTAACTGTTCCGTAGCCATCAAGATAATGAGATTTTTCTGACTTGTACCTAAAATGTTTGACCCACATCTCAAATTAATGGTACAAGTTAAACTTGGTGAACCAGCATGACCTGACCTTCCCCCACCGCCCGTGTGTTTATCCATCTTCTGTGATCTCAACATCAATACAGACCATTATTTTTTTGAGACGGAGTCTCACTCTGTCACCAGGCAAGAGTACAATGGCACAATCTTGGCTCACTGCAACCTCAGCTTCCCGGGTTCAAGTGATTCTTCTGCCTCAGCCTCCTGAGCAGCTGAGACAATAGGTGCGTACCACCACGCCCAGCTAATTTTTGTATTTTTAGTAAAGATGAGGTTTCACCATGTTGGCCAGAAAGTAGACCATGATCTTATAAGGCAGACACATAGCAATTCAGCTGTAAAGGAAAAGTAGTCTGATACCCATACCCAACAGGAGGTCAAACCAAGAAATGAAGTATAAGTGAGTCCGAATCCCACCCCTATAGCAGACAGGGAGCATTCCTCAGGGATCCACATGGAGAGACGGCATGTACTACTGAGAGCTGGAGAGAAACATGACCATGGGGCATGGCAGTCCTGAGCAACAGCAGAAGTGAAGGCAACTTGAGACAGCAAAAGCACAAATAAGTGATTAACAAAAACCATCCTTGACACTGGTCCCTTGGTTGTAAACCCATCTGCAGGGTAGACAACTGGGAGGGCCAGGGCATAAGAGAAAACGGCAAGGTACTAGAAAAGGCTCTAGTGCGGACTGATTCCTAAGTCACGGGGAACATCAAGAAAAGGAAAAGCAGAAGAATGTGTGTGAAAGAGCCCAGGGTCTGCAGCCAGCACGCCTCCAAACCACCTAGCTCTGCCTCGCCACTGCATGATCAGGAGCAAGTCAGTGTGCTCTTTGTGCCTCAATCTCTCTCTGATTTGAAGATGACCCTGGTAATCTTCCTACCCAAGCTGTCTAGAAAGACATCATGGCAGCCCTGCAGTTAGGACAAATCACACACAGACCCCACTCTTCAGAGCTTACATTATATAATGCAAAACAAGGCAAGTGCATCTGTAAGAAAAGGAGGAGAGCATCCAGGCGTGAGCAGTAGGGGAGTTCAAGACTGCCTCCAGTTTGGGAATTCATTCGACACTCCTGAACACGAATGCCAGGCCCTGCAGATATGACATGAATAAGACCTTGTCCCTGTCTTTGAAGAACCTGAACTTCAGAAGGAAAAATGGCCAAATAAACAGAGTATTCACAAAACAATGCCTTGAGTCCTAGTACAAAAGCATGAATAAATAAACTGTGCTAAGGAGGAGTAGCTAGTGCTACCTGGGGGACCAGGAAGCTTTCTAGGAGGAGGTGACATCTTAGCTGAATCATAAATGAGTAAGCTTTTGCCAGGTGAAGAAGAGATCTGAGTGCATTTGCTGCCAAGGGAGCAGCTGAGTCCTGAGAGGACCCAGACCACCCCAGGCCTGGGGCATCCAGAAACAAAAGGCCAGGCTGCAAGGCAGGCCAAGGACAGACGGAAGGAGTCCAGGTGGCTTTGTGGGAAAGGACAGATCCAAGACAGGTCTGGAAGAATTACTACCAAGACACGTGGAAGTGGGGCTCTGTGAGACGAGGTGTAAGAATATGCCCTAAAAAGGTCCAAACCATGATATGGGCTGTGGCTGCAGGTGTCCCTAGAGCCAAGGAGTGTTCAGGAAGAATGCAGAAGCCCAGGAGGGTGCTGGTTGTTCAGAGACAGCTTCAAGGTGGAGGGAGAGAGCAAGAGAATATCGGCTAGAAAGAAGAATGAGACCCATTCCCACCCATGTAAAGGGGGAAGAAATGAGACCCAACATAAACGTGAAGAGATGAAGCTACATATAAACTAACTGCTTCTAGGAGCAGGAAGAGAACATCTACCATAGAAAACTGAGATGCCAGTTCTTAAATGGAAGAAATCTCTCTCATTGGGATTTCAGGTCAGCAGCTCTCAACTGAACTGGGAAGGAGTTTGTGTGCATCCCACTGCCCAGGGGTTTTTTCCTTCCCTCAATTTTCACTTTCCCTTCCTAAGCACATCAGAACAGTGGCTTGGGGGCAAGGCTGCCAGGGCAATTCCCTAAAACACAACTCCCTTCCCAATTCTAAGAATGAGTCCAGATCCAGAAAGTTATGTAAACAACCCCAGCCCTCGCCTCCCTCAAGCCTCTTCCTCGAAGGTGATACAGCAAGAAAAGAGCTCCAACAAAACCCCCTTCTTTGCCATGGGCTCTGACCTTGGGCTTGATGCCTGACCCAGGCAGAGAAGTTAGGAGTGTGGATTTCCAAAGCAGACCTTATGGGGACGGAGACACACACACACACACACACACACACACGTGTAAATTCCCAAAGGTGGCCAGCCCTTCAGCTAGCAGGGCCACACACACTTCCCCTGTCCTACAGAACCCAGGGGGCCCTTCTCCACCCATAGCTCCTTCCCCATCAACCCTGTTCCCCTTCTAAGGGGCCTCACCAGAGAGGCCTAAGAAACTCATCCAACCAGTTCCTGGGTAGAGGAGGGGCGCTTCCTGCCTCAGCTGGAAGGGTACCTGGACCAGAATTCAGACCAGTGGGGCAGTGTCACCCAATCCCAATTCTGGGGTGCACATATGTGGCGACACAGCCCAGGCAGTGTCTACTCCTGGAAAAGTGAGGCCTTGATTTGGGGTCAGTCTGCCCCAATCTCCATGCTCCTGCTGCTCGGAGCTATGGAAATGGTGGGTGTCAGGATCGGGTCCGGGTCTGCTGCCCCCAGGGAGGACATAGGGTAGGGGAATAACCTCCTTTCACCTACTCTAACAGCTGCCATGGTTTGATCCAAAACAACCACCCTCTGTGGATTCTGGGAAAAGGAAACATCAGGAAGAAGTGGAAGGTTAACTCTGCTTTTCCGTGTGTGTGTGTGTGTGTGTGTGTGTGTGTGTGCGCACGCAGGTTCCTACATGACCTTCTCTAACCACCCAACTCCAAATGTTCAAGACGAGAAGTTCCCCTGAAGCCCCCGGCAGAAGCATTTACAGTCACCTCCAAAAGGAACACAGGATTGTCTTGCTGTCACCCAGCCACATGGAGTCCACTAAGAAAAGCAGCTCCCCTACACCTTTATAGTTCTCAGTGTCTAACCCACAAGGGAAGAACCTGCCTTTTGCACTAAAGCCTGTGACTGGCTGGGTTTCCCAGGGGGAGTCCAACAAGACTTAGAGGCCAGGAGTTGAGAAAGCCTCATCCCACCTCATTCCCATCCCCTGGCCTACCCCAGCCAGGTACCTACCGCTTTCCTCAAGAGGGCTCCCATTCGGGCACCATGAGGGTGGCAAGGAGCCGGGCAGCCACATTGTCCCCAGCACCGGCAGCCCAGCAGTTAACAGGCTTGGGGCAAGCAGCGGGCTGCCACCAACAGCCTCGGGAATTAAAGCGCCCGCCGCCTCCTGCAAAACTTCGTCAATAAATGTTCTATTCAGAACCAGTTCCGCGTGTGGGTCATACTTTCTGCATTTCTCTCATTCCTGATTGCTGGGGGGTCCTCGCCCAGGAAATACGACTTCCCAACACAATTCTGCAGGTCCCCACTGGGTGAGGACCCAGGCCACAGCTCTAAGAGGTGAGCGCCACAGGGCTGAGGACCTGCAAGTACCTCCAGCAATGAAGCACAGGGATACTAACTGCAGGAAGTCCAGTACTGAAGGAAGACTCCAGAACAAAGCCAGATCATTCACCAGCACAACAATGCTCTGTTTATGCAGCACCTCCCCCACCCCAGGCCCTCCAGGCCAGAGGATAATTAACCCTTCTGCCCTCACAATAGTGGGGGCAGAGAGGAAGGGCAAGTGGCCATCCCTATTTTACAGGTCAGGAAACGGAGGCACAAGGCTCCCCAAATGCCTTGCTGAAATAATCTCAGCCAGCATTTATTAGAGTGTACCAGACCTCAGGCAAAACATATTCTCTACATAATCTCACAACAGTCAGGTACCCAGGGCCATGTAGTCAGGGAAGTAGGGGGAGCCAGGGTTTGCTGGAATCCACAACCCCTGTGCCCCTCACCATTCTCTACACGATCGCCCACAGAGGCTGAGAGATGGAGCCAAGAAGGCCATCTCTCTCCCCACCTCATAGGAATGCTCTCAAGCCCTTTTTGCTTTTTAACAAGTAACACTGTGAGCTCACAAGTTCCTAGAGTATGGGGCAACCTCAGAAAGGAGCCAAAATGGAGTCACCTGGGAATTCATAACTCACCTGTAGATGCCTCCAGAAATGGTACATGACCAGCAGTAGGCAACCCCAAGAAGCAGGCCTTCCTTCTCCACCCACACACTCTCGCAGCGGGGGCACCAACCTGCACAGAGCTCAGTGAGTGGCAAGCATCCCACGCTGTTTTTTCTGAGTGTTCTGTTGCCTCAACTCAGTAACAACTTCCTAGAGGTAAGAACCAGGTCTTCCAGCATTTTGTGCTCTTTTTTCCCCCAGGTCCTCTGGTACTCAAATCCCTACTTCTCATTTTGGCCATTGTGCAAAAATGGGCCAGAAGAATGTGGAAACACACAGGATGGATGGTATCTTGGGGGCTGCTGTGCTGGGAGAAAAAGGCAGCCCCAGTGGGAGCACAGACATAAGTTTGGGAAGGGAAGACCAAGCTGTTCACCTCCTCTCTGCTGTCCGGTCATACCCAGCCCAGAGAAGAAAGGTTCAGAGTCATGGCTGGGACAACTTCCTGTGTGAAAAGAAGACTATTCAAATTCACTCACATTTATTGACAGTATAAACCATGTGCCATGTGCTAGGGACACAGCAGTGGGTAAGACAAATCCTTGTTCTCATGGAGCTTACATTCCAATGAGGAAGATGGCCACAAAAAGGTAGACGAATAACTAATACATTTTTGGAGCATGTAAGTGCTATGAAAAAGAGAGAAGGGAAAACAGAGTATGACTGGAGGATGGGAATTTCTGCTAGCTAGGGAGGCCTGGGAAAGCATTAAACAGGTGACTCTAGAGCAGAGACCTGTGTTGTAAGAAGCAGCCAAACGTGACGATCTGGGGATGAGCCTTTCAACAGTCTTTTCCTCCATAGCCATCCACTCACACATCTCATATGCCCTAGACCTCATCATTACCAATAAGTGAACGCTTCCAAAATCTTGCTTTGAAGTATCCCACCCTCTATAACCACTGAAGAGGAACCTGATACAGAAATTTCAAGCCACACAAGGAAACAAACCATCATAAGTCAGAAAATCGAAGAAACTGGCACTCAAAGAACTAGAAATTAAAGAATAGGTCTACAATAGATATTTAAGGATGAATAGTTTAAATGATTGGAAATATAAAAGAGATAAAAATCATAATAAAAGAACATGATAGTATAAGGGGGTAAGGAACAGGCCAATTAGAAAAAGCACTACATGAAAATAAAATATTCAATGTTAAAATTTAAAACTCAATAAATAGAAAATTAAACACAGTTAAAGAGACAATTAGTTAGGTGAAAGATAAACTGAAGAAATCATCCTGGATTTAGATGAAAGAAATAAGATAGGAAATATGAACATTAAAGACTTAGAGGTCCACTGAGGAAAAAAAAGGAAATCGTGGAGATGCAAACTTCAGAGACAAGGTATATGAATTTTCCAGTACTGAGAATAGACATTAGTCCTCAGATGGAAGGCACACACCAAGTTAAATTCCAAATAAGCCCACATTTAGACATATTGTATGTAGTATAAATGCAGAACACCAAAGACAAAAAATATCTTAAAGGATGATAAGGAAACGTCACGAACTATATGCCAATGAATTAGATAACTTTGGTGAAACAGACAAATTTCTGGAAGGGCACAAACCACTGACAGATTTAGAAAGAAAAATTCTAAACAAGAGATTGAATTAGTAATTTTTAAACTTTCAATAAAGAAAAGCCCAGGACTAGATAGCTTTCCTGGTAAAGTCTACAAAATATTTAAAGAATAATTCATATCAATTCCTCACAAACTCTCCCAACTCATTCTATGAGGCCAATATTATCCTGCTATCCAGACCAGACAAGATATCAGAAAAAAGAAACCTACAATCCCACATTCCTTATGATCATAGACACAAAAATCCTCAACAAAATACTAACAAATTGAATCTAGCAACCATAAAAAGGAATATACACTATGACCAAGTGGCATTTATCCCAGAGATGCAAGATTAGGTTAACATCTAAAAATTAATTGATATAATTCAAGTTGATAATAGGATGAAGTATAAAAATCACCTGATCATTTCAATACACCCAGAACAAAAATCTGACAAAATCCAACACTCTTCTATGATAAAAACACTCAACAATCTAGGAAGAGAAGAGAATATCCCCAACTTTACCTAGAGCATCCATGAAAAACCCACAGGTATATCATACTTGAGAAGGACGATGCTTTTTCCCTAAGATTAGGAAGACGACAAGGATATCCAGTCTTGTCACTATATTTTCTCTATTCATAGATAACCTGAACTTGCATATGGAAAATCCTAAGTCATCTACTATAAAACTATTAGAATCAACAAAAGTGTTCAGCAATGTACCAGAGTACAAGATCAATACACAAAAACCTATTTTATTCCTGTACACTAGCAATGAGCAATCATAAAAGGAATTAAGACACTTAGGAATATACTTAAAGAATGAAGTATAAGACTTGTATGCTGAAAACAACAAAACACTGTTGAAAGAAATTAAAGAAGACCTAAAAGACATTCCTTGTTCATGGAATGGAACACTTAACATTATTAAGACTCAACAGATCAATCTAAAGATGCAACATAATCTCTATCAAAATACAGTTGATTTTCTTTTTGCAGATATTGACAAGCTGATCCCAAAATTCATATGGAAAAGCAAGGGACCCAGAATAGCCAAAACAACCTTGAAAAAGAACCAAGCTGGAGGACTCATACTTCCTGATTTCAAAACTTACTACAAAGCCATAGTTATCAAGACTATGTGGTACTGGCATAAGGAAAGACATATAGATCAATGAAAGAGAATAGAGATTATAGAAATAAAACATCACATTTATTGGCAATTGATTTTCAACAAGGTGCCAAGGCAATTCAATAGGGAAAGAATAATCTTTTCAACAAAAGGTGGTAGGACAACTGGATCTTCACATGCAAAAGAATGAATCTGGACACCTATTTCACATGATATACAAAAAAGTCCAAATGTGTCATAGCTCTAAATGTAAGAACTAAAACTATCAAACTCTAAGAAGAAAAGATAGGAGTAAATTTTGATGAACCTGAGTGAGCAACGGTTTCTTAGGTACAACACCAAAAGCACTAGCAACAGAAGAAAAAATAAACTGTACTCCATCATTGACATTTTAAACTTTTGTGTTTCACAGTGCACTACCAAGAAAGTGAAAAGACAAAACACAGAATGGAAAAAAATCTGTAAATTGTATATTTAACAATGAACTTATATCCAGAATATATAAAGAACCCTTACAATTCAATAATAAAAAGACAATTCAATATAAAAAGGGGCAAGGAATCTGAAGACATTTCGCCAAAGATGATATACACATGCTCAATAAACACATGAAAAGGTGTTCAACATCATTGACATTAGGGAAATGCCCCTGGAACTATAATCAATACTACTTCATACCAAATCAAAATGATGGACAATAACAAGTGTTGGTGAAGATCTGGAGAAATCAGAACTTGTACATTGCTGGTGGGAATGTAAAATAGTTAAGCCTACTTGGAACACAACCTAGCAGTTCCTCAAAAAGTTAAACATGACTTCATGACCCAGCAATCTAATGCTAGGTATACACCTTGGAGAACTGAAAACATATGTCCGCACAAAACTTGTACGTCAGTGTTCATATTAGCAGTATTCATAGTAGTCAAAGAGTGGAAATAACCCAACAGTACGTCGGCTAAACAAAATGTATGATATCCATTCAAAGGAACATTATTCAGCAGAAAAAAAGAATGAAGTACAGATACATGCTACAAATGAGTGAACTTTGAAAACCTCAGGCTAAATGAAAAAAGACAATCACAGAAGATTACATATTATATGATTCAATTTTTATGAAACATCCAGAATAGACAAGTTTGGAGTCAGAAAGCATATTAATGGTTGCCTATGACCAGGGGAAGGGGAAAATGGGAAATGACTGCTAATGGGCACAGGGTTTCTTTTGGGGGGGTGACAAAACGTTTTAAACTTAGTCTGGTTCTGTGGCACAATGAATAGCGCACTGGACTTCTAAACATGTTTTAAACTTAGATAGTGGTGATGACTGCACAACACTGAATATACTGAGAACCAGTGAAATATACACCTTACATGGGCGAGTTTTAAAATACGTGAACTATATCTCAACAAAGCTATAAAATAAAAAACAAATATATAAATAAATAATGAACATCATAAAAAGAAACTGGTCAGTAGGAAATAATATAGACTATTAAATAACCAGTGCCAGAAAAAAAAATGGCTATTTCTTTGGAAAAAATAATAAGATCAGTTCCATCTTACAAGGTTGGGTGGTTCTCAACCATGGCTATGCATAGAAGTCACTGGGGACATTTCATAACCATGCCTGGATCCTACCCCCAAAGTATTTTTATTTTATTGATCCAATCTGGGGTGAGACTCAGGTATCAGTATG